TTTCTGTTTTAAGAAGTTACATGACTAAGAGGAAAAGGGACCTCCTCACCTGTTACTTACAGTACCCAAAATTCAAGTCATACTGGGATATGACATTAGCACTTCATTTCTTTCTACTATCAGCATGAAAGCTTGTATTTTGAGTGTTGGTTTGGCAAGTTAGACTAAGGAACCAAAACAAAGGAAATATACTTCCTTGCCAGTGGCACTTCGTTCAGAAGAATGCACATTGGTCAAGAGTGTCTACACAACCCAGGAGAATAAAGGCACTGAAATTTAACTTCTAACTGAGGGAGAATTCCATTTTGAAAGATGTTGAAATACCTACAGGTAAATTGGGTACCTGCTGACCTGGCCAGAGCACCTAGGCCCATGCAGCAGTGCCTGTATACCCTCCCAGGAGCTTGCAGGAATTGTCAGTCCTGGTGGTCCTTCCTGACCAGGAGCTGATTACCTTCCATCTCCTCTGAAGCTACAGGTGCACAGACCTTTCTGCCCCAGACTTTGTGGGACAGAAATCCATTCAGGTTACAAAACACTTAGAAACTCTGTCCAGATCAGGAAGCTCATGAGCTGCAGCTAGATGGAAGCTGGGAGAGTGTTAGAAAGCAGTATAATTCATACTTGTGTGTTCTTATTTTCTATAGGCATCCACTTTGCTTACATCCAGTCAGGCACAGGATAGTGGGCACAGTGAACCCTGCTAAGGCCCAGGACAGTTGCTCTCATGATCTTTATTTTGAACTCACCCTTAAGATGCGCTATCCCCTCTTTCCTGGTAGCTTATTATTAGAACTGGGTCACATGAGGCATTTGGGACTGTGTCTCAGTTGCATTGACCGACATTTCTTTCCCAGGGAAAGCTCTATGCTGGCAGGAACAGCAATACAGCTCATGTGGGGAGGGGAGTAGCTTTTTTTGTTGCACAAGATTCAGTTAATGCAGAGTTTTCGTTTTTCTGGCTGTTGTCCATTGCATGAGGGATGTGGCGCTGAGCTAATCCAGGGAGGCGTCAAGGCGCGTGCCATATTTAGAGTCAGCCACCTGCTTGGAACATCAAGCAGCAGCAAAGAGCCTGCTTCAGCAGAAAACTGCCCTGTGGTCCTGCAGCAGCACCTTCCAGCAGGGCCTTCCAGCAGGCCCTCCTCTGCCTAAATCTGCGTGTGGCCTCCGAAGGGGTCAGCACCTGAAGACAGTCAGACCCTGTCAGCCTGGGAATGCTCTGAGGCTGGCATTCCCTCTGCCCAGGAACTGCCAGATAATTTGGACAGCTGCAAGGTGGAAGTAAATCACGTGCGTGAAGAGTGGCCTAATCTCTACATAGGCAATATGTAAGTGTTATTTGAGGCTGAGCTGTTCTGAAGGGCTGGGAAATACAGTACTCGTTAACATATGCTGTCCAACTTTATTTAGTTAGCATTGGTAAACTTTATTGCCTTAAAATAGACTTAAGATTAGCATAGAAGAAAGAAAAAGGATGACTCATTAAAGAAAGAACCCACTGAACAGAAAATTAATTAAAAAGATAATTAGACTCTATTGCTTTGCATTATTTATAATTGTTCAACATATAGATTTTATTTACCATATAAAGCACAAGACAGACTCATGATCCTGAGCAGCCTTAAAATTGAACAGTGACTGATTTTACCTTTTTTAATTTAATTTAACTAGAATGGAAATTTTCACATTAAAAAGTATTCTGATTTTGGCTGTTTATATGACAACTTGATTTGCAGTTGAAATTTCTAACAAAAACCAATATGGATATTCTGAATGACAGCAGACTCCACTGTTTGTTTTTCAAAGCTGTATAGATGGATATTTCACTCATGCAGTCATCTGCACTCACATGCCTAGTGCCCGATGTTATGCCACAACACCACCAGCAGGTTGCAAACTTGTTGAAATACCTGGAAATTAAAATTACAATAATTCCTACATGAGAGAAGCAGGAGGAACTAATAATCCTTTGGCTAATTGCCAATTGGTTACAGCTAAAAGTGGGCATTCTTTTAGCTATGAAAAAGCAAAGCCAAAAAAATGAGCTAGGTGATGGGGAAATAATTTGCATTTACAAAACTTGGTTTTACAAATTGCAACCTGCTTCCCAATCTCACTGCACTTCTAATGAGGAGTGTGACACCCTGCAGGTGGGCCCAGCAACAGGGGCCCTGGGTGTGGAAAGGCAGAAGCCAACACAACAACTTGCATTGCTTCACTGAACTTCTGCCTTGGCAGTGAGAATGGGAAACCAACATCGGCTTTTCCAGTTAAACCTTGTAACTGTACTTGGAAATTAAAGTTTTACTTATTAGAACCATTTGGATTTGTAGAATTGAGCCCAACAGGTAGTAAAAGCAAAGATTTAATACAAAAATCACTGAAATTGGTGGGGAATAAAATGTAAAACAGTGTATGTGTAGTAAGGAAAAGATGAACTTTGAGAACATTCGGCTAACAGGAATAAAAATGTAAACAGGTTTGTTTGCTAATGCAACAGCTGATCGCTACTATCAGCTTAAATACAAGTTACAGACTGCAAACAGTGAAAGTGGAAGTTGATCAAGTGCTGTAGACAGCATTTTCTTTATTTTGCCAACATCAATAAGACAAATATGAACAACACCTGAGAATAAGGTTTCATGGGATCCTCATGAGATAGAAATGGGGAATAGAGTATTAAATTAATAATTAAGTATTTGCATTTAGGGCCCAACCCAATACTCAGTGAAGTCAATAAACAGTGGATGTTTCTATCACTGAGCAAACCATGCCAGCATCAGGACCTGTGCCAGAGCTAAAGTAATCCAAAGCAGTACCATATATTGTCACTTCTTGTTTCTGTGGAACCAGTTGTGTGCAGTTTCTGAGCAGCTACTTGGAAATCAAAGATCAATCTAGAATTAATGCTGTATTTTATAAGAAATATTTCTCCTTATGTGTTTATCAGAAATCTGATGATCAGTGTCTTTAAACAAGTTAAATCTGGCTCAAAAAATAAAATGGGGAAGGCTGACTTTGCATGATGACTTTCATCCCAGAGGACTTTGAAGTTGTCAACAAACTGATTATTAAATATTTGTCTGGCTATCAGCCATTGTTTATATGCAAGGCCAAGGCCAAGACTCTCTGGGTTTAAAGGTAAAATGTTTTTTGAAATACCACATAATAAGTGGCTGAGGGCACAATATGTAAAATATTCTGCAGAAATCAAACCTCATGCTGATCTTAAGCAGGCAGGTTTGTTTACTGGAGTTTAGCCAGATTGGCAAGGCTAATATCATTTCAGCAAAGAAACATCATACACGGTGAGGCAAAATGGTTGCAGGCTGAGCTAAAACCTTGTGTATTCTTTCAACATACATATTTCAAGTCTAATGACAGGAGGACCTGAGCTACCTCCTGAAGTGGAGGTAAGGTGTTTAGGCCAGCAATTTTTGTAAGGTGTTTAGGCCAGCAATTTTTGTAAGGTGTTTAGGCCAGCAATCCGCAATGCCTTTGTAGTCAACTGGAGCCTGTGAAACTTGTTAAATTTATTTATTTGCAGGAGTGAAATAACTTGGAATTCTGCACTTCCAGATATGTTTTGAGTATATTCAGAAATCATAACCTTTTACCATTCTTTTACTGCCTCACTTTTTCTTATAAATGTCAAAGGGGGAAAAATGTCTCAAAGTGTGGTGGGCACTGCTCTCTACACACAGGAATACATTACAAGGCAACAAGATACCTTAAGCTACTTTTTGTCATGAGCTTTCATACATGATTCTCCTTAGTTCCATAACCCATAACAAGGAAGACCTGAAAAGGCTTGGTGACACCCATGCACTGAGTGCAGCACATTTTTGCATGGAGAATCAAATGAGACCCAACATTACATGGCCAGGAGATGCATTATTATGGAACACCTGCAGAGGACATGATTGACTTCCACCTTGTTGCACATTTCTGTACCACCTCTGAGTGCATTCACGAGGGCAAATGGCAAGGCCCTCTCCTGCTGGTAAACCACTGCTCCTACACAGCACTTCCATTAAGCAATCACAAATTATTTTAGCAGCATTAACTAAACCTCCCTCAACCACTTGTGTGAGCCTAATTATCCACCTACAGACATTGTCTCCATTGGCAGGTGGGAGAACAGCAGGATCCTGAAAGATTAGGAGTGACCAGCAAAACCCTACCCACATCAGTGGCAAGGATCATACGCGGTCTACTGCTAATCCATCAGAGCGTATCTTCTGTAGCCGTAGGGGAAAAAAAGAATTATGTATTTTAGTGACTGGGGAGAAAGTTCTGAGTTCTCAGTCAGAAATCACTGACTTTTTTAGGTTTTCTGTATTGATTCATCAGAATGCACAATAAAAAAATAGTTACTTTCTGGTTTGAGGAACAGCCAAAAGCTGCAAAGAGCTATTGCAGAGACGTGCCAATTGGCCATTTACAATGCCTAATGCCATGTGTTTTCCTCTGTTTCTGAACTCAGGTCTCTAGTAACAAAAAGTGGTTCTTGATTTATGAAAGGGATGTATGTAATACCCTGGAGGCTACTTTATCTCATCTGCTGTAAATTGGATCTCTTGGAGATGAGATGAGATAAGATGAGATGTGAGTGAGGCAGAAGAAATGCAATCTGTGACCATGGCACTATTCCTTGCAGCTGGAACAGCACTACATATATTCATTTCTGTTTGTAAGGGAAAAATCTTTATTTGTTGTATTCTTAGAAAAGCAGATCTGCTTCTTTTCTGCTGGCTGGTCTTATGATACCCTGTCACTTTCCTCTAGGCAATGCTATCCAAAGAGTTGTTCAGTAGCGAGCAATTTCATCAAGCTGCAGGATTTACATATTGAACTAAGATACAGTATACACCTGTGTCAACTAAACTCTTACACGATTAAAAAACAAAGTGACAAGGAAAAATGTCAGACAATCTAAGTATGACATAAAGATGTAAGGAACATGACCCAAAGCTTTGGCATCAAATCTATCTTACCTGTTTAGGGTGTAGGAGGTTTCTGAATTTTGTATGCTCCAGTCATTCCTTGATTTGGTTAAATGAAGGCAACAAATGTGTTAGACACTCCTCTAGGATACATTCCTAATTTGTTGTCCATTCTGCTTATTCAAACTCTTCAAACTCAACTCCAAGAGAAAATAGGCCCCTGTTTAAAATTAAAGCTCTTAAGTATGTTCCTGGACATAAAAAGATGTAAAAATGTTTTGCTAGATTGGGATCAGCAAATGAAAAGGGGAAAAAATTGTCCAAACCATACAAGAAGTCATCCAGATGGGAGACAGAGATTTTTACCTTGGTGACAATAGATGCTGAATGGCTGGGGACTTCCACGAGGTACCTTCCTCCTGCCATGCTCTCTGCCCAGCTCTGTCTTAGCTTTATGGACCTGAGAATTACTGCAAATGTAATAAATTTGCAGCCATTAATTAGCCTTTTTTTTAATGCTCAGAGTTCCCACCAAAATTCTTTTTACTCAAACATTGCTGTGTCTCTACCACTAACAAACACAGAAAGACACAAGTTCTTTAATTTTACAGGAATATTTCATAAATAGGCTCTATTTCATAGTAAGGCTCTTTCAGCCTTACTCTGCTGACTTGGAAGACGGGTTTCCCCCAGTAACCTGTTTTCTGTCAACGTCTCGCAAAGGAAAGGGGACTGTAAAGATAAAAACAGTTTTGAAATGACTATCCAAATTTGCGAGCTAAGCTAGACCACCCTGGGGTAGTTCTCATCTTAGAGCAGGTCTTGGAAAACAAACTGTAGTTTTAGACTGAAGTCCTAACCATCCCGAGGTAAAACACCTGAGAAAGTTGCTGGTGGCAATTCAGCATCTCAACAGGACTCCGTAGCATTTGCCCAGAGTTCGTTTGTCACATGTGTGCATTTCCACAGAATATAATGCAGTGCAACATCAGAGCATCAATGCTGGGGCCAAACTAATCATTGTGGAAACTCTCACCCAAAACCAGCGGTGCAAGCCAGAGCTGAATTTGCCCTCCTATTTCTGAAAAGAGAAGTCTGCCAAGGACATCATGGCCTATGAGGCACACATTGCTGGCAGGCTCTCAAATGCCAAAATAGAACCAGCATTGCCAGCCGTGCACATCCTGTGCTTTGCAGGCAAGACACAGACAAGAAAAACAATCAAGTTGTCTGGTGGAAAAAGCGGCTTCCCAGGATCTCTCTGACCACGGTGTAATTGTGATCAATCCACATTGGCAAGTATCATCTTTCCACGTGTGTTCTGCCTAGCGCAGGCCGCCTGTATGAGCAGCTCAGGCAGGCTGATGCATGCTTGTTATTGCCGGCATAAATATCTCTGCCTTGTGTTATTGTGGCACAAAGCAGCTGGACCATTTGAAAATCATTTAAAAAGCACTATAAAATTAGGGCTCCAGTGCTCTTATTTTATGACTTTCACGAGCAGCCGTTGCCTAGAGAGAAATTATCCTCTTTATTTTCCAGGCTAAAGGTTCTTTTAACATTCATCAAAATCAAAGTGCACCCTTGATAACACATCGAGCTGTTACTTATCTAGTACAGACTCTTTACCTTCTGCATAATATCACATTTGAGATCTCAGTTCTTCATATACAACTCATTTCATTGTGTCTGCTGTTGTTTTCACCAAGTGAATTTGCATAGTTTCTGGAGAGGCTGGATGATGCCCTGAAACACATTCTTTTCATAATTCCCTTTTTTTTTTAATTTTATTTTTAGAATAATAGCCTGGAGTGCTTTTGTTACTGATCCTTCTATAAAAATGGTCAATTACCTCTTTGGCAATGGATTTGCACAGACCAATTAAGCACTGTAAGTGAAAGCTTTTCAAGGACAGAAATAGTACTTAGGTGCATAACCTGATGGACTCACCTTTCTGCATTCAAAAAAATCTCTTTCCCATATATAAAAAAAAGGCTTTGATAATTTTTTTTTCTGTTCTTTTTACAGACAGCTGCTTTACCAAACTCAGGAAAGCGGTGAGTGAACCAAAGCAGCATGAAAAAATGCAAACAGTACAAAGGGCAAGCCATTCTTTTTAGAAATAAAAAAGAAGCACAGCTGTATCAACCATACTTACAGCTCAAATCTGAAGGGCTTAGGAAGAGACACTGCATGAAATCCTCAACCACAAAGGTGACAAGTGGGGAATGCCCTGCACATGCTCTGTGCTGCAGCTCAAGAAAACCACTGTGTGTGTCTGTGTTGTTTAACCTGCCTTAGGTTTCTGTAAGGGACAGGTCACCTTATTATCCAGACATCAAATACAGACTGGAGATAAACATTTACAAAGTCATAACCTTAGCTCTGTTCTCATGGTTCCCTCTTTGGCCAGGATTTTTGTTATGTCTTCTGGGGGTAGTAGGCTCATTCCTATGCCAAAGAGCAGCATGCTTTCAGATCCTGCAAGGGGGGTTGGTTGTTGCTAATAGATCCCGCTGTGAAGGCATGTGTAGCCACATAGAGCATCTGTACAGTCAAGATGTATCATCCTGCATGGAGGAGGAGATGTAACCAGCCAGAAGGCAGGCTATGTGTGTGCAAAGAGAGCTTCGCCACCATGCCAGCACCTCTGAGAGCAGAGGGAGTCTGAATTTTTAATGACAGATTTTGCCTGTCATCACCCAGTTTGTGACCCATCAACAGAATGGTTAAGCTAGCAGAGGGACAAGATGAAGTTATTTGGTAATCACTATTGTTCATGACCCTGGAAAGGCAGAAAATGGGACAGGCATGACAGACATCTTCATGGATAAAGGAAGTGGGACAGACATTTAGTAAGTCAGGATAAGAAAGCACCTCAGCTCTATGGTACATTTTTCTGTTCCAATAGTCAGTAACCACCTTCCTGTGCCTGACAGTCTCAGAAATAAAAAGAAGAGCCCAAATAAGCATTTCAGATCAGATTTGATCTTCTGGGTTAAGACTGACCCACTCAATCTCAGCCCTTACTTGTGGCAATAGTGAAAAGTGGCAGAAGAGCAGAGGTCAGTGCAGCCCTCTCAAGACCTGATCCAGCACCACAACTGTGATTAAGTCACCTGTGCAGGAACTTCCTCCCTTCTGAGCTGACCTGCACATGTGTTTGTTCCCTCTGAGGTATATACACCTTGCTCAATAGAACAAAAATTAAAAACTCGGGGATAAATCCCTCACCCAATAGAATAGAAATAGAAAATTCCTTCTACCCAGAGATTTCAAATTCCTGGACAGCCCTGAATTTGCCTTTATCTGGGGGATAAACTGCCTGTGGTGAACAGTTTCTCACTCTTGGTCTTCACTAAAAAAGATAGCAAATTGACACTTGCAGTTAATGCTTCAGTGCTGAAAGGGGAGGATTTTCCTTTCAAGCACTGAAGGGGAACAGGTGTCTATAGAGCGTTATTTCTGCTATACACACATATCTACTAACACCTCAATGTGTAAAGGCTTGCTCACCTCATGTCCAGAGCAGGATTAAGCATTCCCTGGAGCTGCTTTGACCTAGGTGATCAGTGGCTGGAAGGCTGGCAAAAGGACCCAGGTTGTGGGATGTCCTGGACGAGGCAGATTCAAAGTCATTTGTGCTCAGTTAAACCTATTAATTTCCAGGAAGGCTTAATCTACTTCTGAATAGCAAGTGCGATCCTGTAACTCTGAGGTGGGCAGCCTAAGGGCAAAAGAAAGTTCCTGGATGCTGACAGTGTTCTTGTGGCGTTGCCAGAAGCTGCAGAGCTTCCATCATTTGCTTTCCTCACAAAATGAAACTGATTCTGCTACTAACTGCAGAACCAAGCTGGGACCAAAGTCATTTTACCAAAAGAAGTAATACAAGAAAGAATACCTTAAAAAGACAGGTAGGATCAGAATCTGGAGGGGAAAGGTGTGAGGGCACTGGAGTCTGTGTTCGCATCATCTCATGGGGCAAGGGTGTTCCTGCCCAGGTGATGGGCACCCACATCATCAGTTCTTTTTCCTTATTGTCATAACTGTTGAAACTTGCTTCAAACATTTTTCTTTTGCTCCTTAACTCTTGATTCCTTGTCATCCTCCTCCATGGTGCCACTGTGAAAGTGCAATTGGTTCATAGTGACAAATGTATTCCCAGCCTAGGGAACAGATTCTGGATGTTTGGTGCCCATGTTATAGAATGCACTACTTAGTAATGGGTACTGTGCACACTGCATTCATAAGACAGGTGGAAAAGGCACCAAGGCAGGTTAGACCTGAAGGTCTGGATAGTTATTTTCTCCATCAGCCCAGAGCAGAGTCTAGGGAAAGACAGCATAAGAAACAGGACAGCTGCTTATCTTCCAGCTTTTGGCTTTCAATAGATTGGCTAGTTCCTAAACCTCTTGATGCTTTTAATTACTACTGACTGGATGGCAGGGCAGGTCCTAGTACAAAACTCCCTAGTTGCCCCAACAAGAACTTGGCTTCCACCAGCTCCAGGGAGGTTAGCTTGGGCTGTGGGGAAAGAAAGAAAAGGAGGGGGGAAGGCTGGGTGAGGGGAAAGGTTGCATGGGTGAGGAGCAGGTTGGGTGGGTGGGGAGCAGGCTGGTGCTGGAGGAGGCTCTGGGGAGGCCGCTACCATGGTGCAGCACAGCTGTTGCGGCTGTGAGGTTCAACCCCTCATGAGACAAACTGCAAATGCCTCTTTGTGAGGAAGGGGAAGGTGAAAGGGTTGCAGGAACCACTGCGCTGCCTCTGGAGGAGGAATGCCTCAAAGCCCCCAGGCAGTCTGGTTGTACTGTCCAAACCAATTTCCATTCTTGTAGAGGGTTTGTTTACTTTTAAGAAAAGTATTTGAAGCAGCTGCGAGAGAGCATGAACAGCAGACTCCTCCATCCCAGCCCTCTTCCAAAACCCCATCGGCTCCTGAGAGGTTCAGTCCTGGCAGTGGAAGTGTCTTGTCTGTGACACCCACATGAGTGAAGGGTCAGTTTCCCCCTGGAGAACAGGCAGGAGAGACTGAGATGACCTCATTGCCAGTGCAGCACTCAGTGCAACAGCCTGTCAGCACCAGGTGTGTTCTCCTGCGCAGCCTCTGTCCCTCATGCCTCCCTCTATTCCCAAACACCAGAGCAGTGGATCTTTCCTCTAGCTTGGCTCTTTTCCTGCTATGACTCAAGGAACTGGGAATGGGAAGAGAAATATATTTGG